GTGTGCGAACATCATCATTTTTTGACAGTTGTCAATTCTCCGTTTTGTTTTTTAATACATTCAGCCTGATGGATTTTTGTTATTGTTGATTCAAGCGTCAAAAATGTATCGAACTGTAAGGATTCTGAAAGACTTTTGCCCAAAATTCCAACCACAAGACGATCTCTTATTAATTCGTTTTCTATAATACCATAATTACATTTTTTTGCTAATTTAATTATTTCTTCAATGTATTCTTGAGAAGTTTCTCCTTCGATTTGGTTTCTCAAATTGAATTTAGCCCGTTCATATATGATATTAACAGTTTTCTTGAAATATTTATTAAAATCGTTGATAAGACTCCTATAAGTTTGATAATCCTCTTCTTTTGTCTGCAAACGATCAAAAATTTTCCTAACATCTTTTCCCATAAAAAGTAAAACATTGTTAATTTTGGTATTTTAAGAGTAATTTAGAAGTTGCAAATTTTGAACCTGTGTTCTCAAATCTTGTATATTTTCTTCCACATCTAAAGTTGAATTTTCATTCGTTTTTCGTTTATATCTAGGCATTTGGAAAACCTGACACCAGGTAAGAAGACGAATAGAAGATACTCTATTTGAAGCTAACTTTATTACTTTTTGTCAAGTTCCAACATCTGTCGCTAGTTACCTTTCCCTACCTATATTGTCACGGCTTTGGGTTGCCTGACAGAAATCTTGGGTTCGTTGTTCGTTTCGTTTATTCCAAAAAACAAAGTCCAATTAACACAGCAATAATTTATTCCACTTAACAATACACTCTGACACTAATTACTTCAATAACTAACTCAACAATTAAACTTTTTACAATCACTATTTAAATCGTATCACAGTCGAACTGAAACTGAAACTACAAAGCAATAGCCGCCTTTATATATCCCTAAATCTATTCCTGCACAATCTAGAATACACACGATAATCTTATTTTCCCGAATTAAGTAGAATAATTCGCTAGATTCTAGAATACTCACTAGGGAATACCGAGAGATTCTTGACAGCCTGGCGAATCATCACATTGCCCTCCTCTTAAGGTTGATCCTCCCGATCAACTTCACGCCCGTGATATTTCGTTAACCTGTCCAGATGTACAACTTTCATCTCACTCCTGGTGTTGCGTTGAACTCGATAAACCAAATCACTGATCCTCTTGATTATTTTGTAGGGTCTTTCCCATGCTGAAGATAACTTCGGCGACACTCCTTTCTTTCTTGCTGGATTATACAACCATACTAAATCACCTTCTTGAAATCCGGCTGAATTGGCTTTCAGGTCGTATCTGGTCCTCACCCGGTCGCTGGCTAGCTGAATATGCTCCCGAGCAAAATCATGTATCCCCAGAAGTCGTGCCCTTACTTCGTCGGCATAATCTCGGATTTCTCTCCGTTCTTCTTCAGGTATCCCAAACATCAGTTCGCAAGGTAACCTGAGTTCTCTTCCAAAGACGATTCTGGCTGGACTTTCACCTGTTGACTCGTGAACAGCTACTCAAAAAGCCATTAAAAACAGAGCCAAGTGTTTGTCCCAATCACGCTGGTTCTTTGCGACCACTTTTGTCAGGTGCTCCTCTATGGTCTTATTAAATCGTTCTACCATGCCATCAGACTGTGGATGTAAGGGTGTTGTCCTGGTCTTACGGATTCCCATGATCCTCCCTTAGTTCCCAAATAGAATGTTCTAGAATTTTTCCGAAACTCCTCGAAAAACCTCTTCTGAATGACGATTGATATTCCGAATACGTCGGCGAAGTCACAAATTCGATATCTCCCTTAGTTTCCAAATAGAATTTTCTAGAAATCACTCGAAGATTCACTATCACAGTCTAAATCGGGTCACTTCCGGGGTAATTCACACGATCGGTTAAGTCTCTTTTTGTGATTGTCACTGTTTGCACTGCACTAACTGTCCCAGTGTTCACTTAGTGTTCAGTTTTTACACTACACTAGTGTCCCCGCACTTCCGCAACTGGATTTCACTCTGCAGTCCTTTATATCCGACTTCTGGCACCAATGTCACGGCTTTGGGTTGCCTGACAGAAATCTTGGGTTCGTTGTTCGTCTCGTTTATTCCAAAAATCAAAGTCCAATTAACACAGCAATAATTTATTCCACTTAACAATACACTCTGACACTAATTACTTTAATAACTAACTCAACAATTAAACTGTTTACAATCACTATTTAAATCGTATCACAGTCGAACTGAAACTGAAACTACAAAGCAATAGCCGCCTCAATATATCCCTAAATCTATTCCTGCAAAATCTAGAATACACACGATAATCTTATTTTCCCGAATTAAGTAGAATAATTCGCTAGATTCTAGAATACTCAATAGGGAATACCGAGAGATTCTTGACAGCCTGGCAAATCATCACAATATTATATCTACTGTAGTGCACTAGGTTGTTGAATTTCAAGAAAGCGCTTCTGTTGCTCTTGAATAAATAACTTAAATTACTTAAATTACTTAATAAAGTGATAAAGCAGCCCAATTTGGAACTGCTTGACTATGGACATCATCAACTTACCAGTTTAATCATTAAAAAATAAAAATGATTCAAGGACTTGGTGACAATGACCCGGAGAGATCTCAATTCTGTGAATTAAAATCCAAATTATTACTGAGCCTTGAGGCTGTGAAAACTGTTTATTTCAGTGATAAAATGTTCTTTTTTAAATGTAGTGATGAAAACCAGGGTACAGGGTGGGCCAATTTCGACACTTTTCAATAGGAAACATCAATTTCTCAGCGAGATACAAAAAATTAACCCTCAAATTTCATGAACAAACCGCATTTTGATATCTTCAACCGTTTAGCCGCCAGAGGGCGATTCTCGATTTTGAGCAATAATGCCTTCATAGCTTTTTTGTTTAGGAAAATAATTGATTCAAATATTAAATAGAAAAAAACTGAGAACGTTACTGAATTCTGCTTAAAAAAGTGCTTCTAGAAATTTTGCATGGATTGGCAGCTACTTCATCTGCAATAATGTCAGATGAATCAGGTATTTTCATAAACAAAAAAGTTAGGAAGGTTTCACAGTATTGCTCAAAATCGAGAATGGCTCTCTAGCGGCTAAACGGTTGAAGATATCAAAATCTTCAAAGTGGGGGGTTCACTTTTTTGTATCTCGCTCAGAAATTGACGTTTCCTATTAAAAGTGTTCAAATTGGCCCAGCGTGTACATTGAAAAAATGACTCACCTACCTAACCACTACCCTTGCCACTACCTTCCTCTAAAAAAAATAATGTTTGGGCTGGTATATTAGCGGACACTATAATTTTCCCATTATTAATGAAATTAGATTACAAAAGAAGTGCGGTTGGAAATTTATATTTATGGTCATTAAGTAGGTACGGGTGATCTATTATAAATGTCACCCCCTCCTTACTTTTTCATTTGACGTTTTTGACAGAAGTGTGAAATACAAAAGTTTTAAGAAATTGTCAAAAGTTTTTAACTATGATTGAAATTCACTAATGCCAATGCCAAACCACAGCTTGTCAAACCATGTTTAATTTAACAACATTGCTTTTTCTATCATTCCACCACGGTGCCAAAACCAGCTGAATTTAGCCACACGCGGAAGATGGTGCACCTCTTCACTGTGTATTCCCATTTAGCCGAACATTTAGCCAATCTTAGGATGACCAATAATATACAAATCAGTGGTTTGGAAGTCCTGAATGGCGACCAAGATTCGAGATGGCGACCTTTCCATTTTTTTCCTGCTGGTTCCTCAGCCAGTGAAACATTCGCAAATGTTCAAAAGTCAATAGTTTTATTATTAGCTTTATTACCGAGTTTAGAGTTTGAGAAATATTTTGAACAATTGGTTTCACTTTCAGTTAATTGAAAAAGATGGATAGATAGGCCGTAATTTTTTTTTTGGTAAATCGAAAATAACGTATCTTCAATAAGTACCGCAGGAAAAATAAGTTTTTGAAGAAATGGCATGGATTTAGACGATTTTGATGGGTTTGCTGAGGCTGAGAGGGAGAGTGGAATTTAATGTATTCTCGAATCCATTATTACATAATTGTAGTTCCTCCTTGCTCCTCGATATCAAGTACTAAGATTTTCTAAACCCTTATCGTTTTAACCTTTTCCAAAAATATTATGTGACACTTCGTGTGCATTGCATTGCAGAAAAATGGAAAATTCATTAAAAAAAATCTCTTTTCTTCAAAACTATCTTCTATCATTATATACCTACCTATTACTTATACCTACATACATCTAATCAAATGAAAAAAAAGAAAAAAAAACACATGGCAATTCAATAGAAAGGTATATCAGAAATATTTATTCTGCTTGCTGGCAGTTGAAGATGAAACATATAGGTTTAAAGCTCGGTTTAAAGGTAAAATCGGTATTCTGCAATAAATGTCTTGATTACTCCTTCTTGATAGATGGAAATAATTTTTGATGGTTTTTGGCAGGCTGAAATAATATTATTTCCTCGATTATTTCCTTGATTATATCATTTGAGGAGCTTTATCCCTCACTTTATCCTATTTGAAGTTAATACTTGATCTTTACTGATTTTGTATTATTTTTATCTATGTATTCATCTGTGGGTACTTCCTATTATCAGACTCTAAATAGTACCTCCATAAAACAAATGAAAACACGAGGTAAAACATCTGGACATGATCAAAAAGTACCTACTTATTTTTTTAATTGAAAATCATACAATGGAAGGAGGTCACGCAGAAAGTTTAATGTAGCTTGTATAAGTAGCGCTTGAGAACATTAAATCGGAGTGGGTAGTTTGTAAATAGACATCCTATTTATTGAACAAATATAATTTTAAAATACATATAAGTATTAATATACTTAATGTTGAAATTATGGCATTTATCTTCCAAGTTTATCTCCTCACAAATTGAGAAATATACCATTTCTTAAGACCCCCCATTATTGACAAAAACATGTAAATTTAGTAACAATATTATATCAAAAATGTTGAGTTTGCTGACTTCATAAAAATATATATTTTGTATAGTATAGATAATTAATAGTGGAATGTCGAGTAATATTCTGTATTTTAGTAATAACAGTTTGGTATAAATAGAAATATCACATACTAAGAAAATATACACATTTTATTAATAAACCAGCAGCTATACAATCAGCCTGAAAAAGTTCTAAAATGAGGTTTCATTAAGAAACATTATTCCCAGGTTCCCCTATCAACTTTGACTGGCTCATTACTTGTTTATCATACCAAAGTAGAGTATTTCGAATTAGTTGAAAGTGTTTTATAGCTGAACAAAGTCATTTTATAGTGTCGTCCTTAATATTTCGATTAGTAAACAATATGAAAAAGAACATCAGGAGAACTGTTGAGAATTTAGATACATTTAATACTGCCACCAGTGAGGATATGCGAGGAAGAGCTTACAGTACAGTGGATATCGAATATTTTACCAGTGGCCATGCTTCTACCAAAAATGCTACTCAAAGGTACGTCAATATGGATTATTTGATTAATATCACTTAAAAGTAAACCTAAGCATCAATGAAATTTTATAAAGCATAGATATTTTGAATAAACCTACAATTTAACATGTAGTGTTATAAAAATGATGTCACTGAAAAATTATTGTATAAAATTAAGTAATGTGATGGTAGTGGTTAATTTGATAATGAACATCAGTTTATTCTGGAAAAATTAACATTAATTTTCCGTTCCGCCTTGATAATGGATTAACTGTCATTAGCTTTTATCTCATTTGATTAGATAATTATTGGTAATAGTATGGTCTATTTCAAATTACAAATTCGTGGAAATAAGTAATTAGCAAGTAATACGATTCACTTTGTCTTATCAGCAATTATTGTCTTCTTTAAAACATTAGATGTCTTTTTTAAATGCAATATTTCCTCAGAGGCTCTAAATATCATGAAGTTACTTTAAGCCTGAAGCAAAGTAACAATCTATTTCTGAAATCGTAGACATTTTGCCATAATATCTGTAGCGATGATTATTATTTATTAATAATCTTTAAGCCTGTGATTGAACAATATAAAATCGTGTGTTATAAATAGTTGAGATAAGCTCAATGACAACTTGTTTGAATTATTTCATTTTGCGAAAATGATTGATTGAAATACCTAATTGGATATTTGGTGTTGTCAAAATATAAGAGATTTCTCCGATTAGGAATACATTTCAACTAAACTGGCCAAGTTTTCTGGTGTTGACGTCTAAACGATAACATTTATTAAAATGTGCGCCAACATATCAGTTCAAGTGGGAGTCACGAAATGAAATTATTAATTCATGAGCAAACTTATTAAAATGTTGCAGGCAGGAGCGCAACCTACACAATAAATAAATTTAGGTGCGATCGATAATTAGTGAAACTTTGTCTTTCTCTCGGTCTTTCGTCACCCGAGTTAGCGAGTAGGTCAATAACTATTTTAACTAATTAATTAATTTGACAAACCCAAAATCGTCTGTTCTATAGATCAAGTTACTTAGTTAGGAAAACACAGTATTCCGAAATTATGTATAACTCACAGATATTAACGAGTTGTACCATGAAGGTACTTAGAAAAGCTGCATCCTGCTCTAACATGAAATTTTTTAACACAATAATAAAAATGCCAGCATTACTGCATTACTCCTGGAAGTTTCTATCCAACACTGTCAAATAGTGTCCACATTATTGTTCAATTTTTAGGGCAATAAAGTGGTCCATAGTCCACTGGTGGGATAAAGTAGTGAATTATAATAGACGCTTTATCCCACAATTACTCCTCAACACATTGATTTTTCAACAATTTTGTGGATATTCAAAAAATAGCTGTCCAGTTGTTTGGAAGATTTATTAATATCACATTCGACATAAAGTCAAAGTGCAAGTTTTATTACCTGAATCACCCTGAACTAATTGAAGAACATAGGAAAATATTATTATCACATTTTTTATTCAAACATGCCGATGCCAAAAAAGTTAAATAATACCGGGTGTCCCATTTGAAATTCAAAAGTTATGGTCTACCCGGAAGTGACTTGTATGCAATTTGTTTCAGAAAACACAGTTAGGCTCTCCAGGTTTCAAATTTCCAACTTATAATAGTTATTAAAAACTTATAGGTCGAATGGTTTGGTGAACACCTTGAAACTACAAAAATAATCTTGGGAAAACTTTTTTTTTAAATAGGTTCCACTGTATAACATAGAAGCAACCTTAAAAAAATTATTACAAAGAGCAAACAAAGGATGAACGATGACGTTATATGAGATGTTTGGAATTTTTTGAAAATAAGTGAATCACATGTATGTGTGTAATGTGTTATAGGAGTATTGAAAAGATAACTTTCAATTTTTCATTAAATAATTATCAATTGATGATAATTAAAGTATCATTTCGCAATTTATTGCTTTTATAGCTAAAACTTGAACTTGAAATAAGCACGCTTATTTGCATGATATGTTTTTTTTTTATCAGGTTAGATTTAGTGCCTTTGAAAACAGCTAAAGCCGAAATAGGCCGAAACATTTAACCCAGTCACGATATGTATATTATTGATCGATAGGTTTTTGGAATAGTTCCAAGTTATGTTGAGAAACTAAAATGCTTGAGGCTTGAACATGACCTTACACGATTGAATAATGGAATGTTATAGCTTCTTTCCATTTCTCAGTGTGATATACAAAATATGTATAATTTCTAATAGATTTGATTTGTTACAATTATTGCATTAACTGGAACTTAACCTTCATGCAGATAGCAAAACGAATAGAGCATGATAGAAAACAATTGTCCATGTCTGTGTAATGAGTGTGAATTGAATAAATGATGAGAATCTTTGTCTCTTTCACTTGATCTAATTTAAATTTTGAACCAAGTACCGCGTCCGCCGAAGGCGGATTACAAAAAGGAATCCCATTCTCACTCTTAATCAGTTAATTATGGACAAATCTTGATAATGCGTGTAAAGTAATGAGCTTGCTTAAAGCCAGCCCAGAACAGCGAGTATACGATACATTCTCCAGTTGTTCACTCAATCGCGGTTTTGTTATCGAAGCGTCGAGTATATGTACGTGCAAGCGTTTCCTTTTGCTTTTAATGTAAACGTTCTACTTTTTTCGTTTATTCGTCAAGTGAAAATTTGTTTTCACTGCAGTGTTTTATTGTGTAAAATTTTTTTCACAAAAATAAATAAGTGCGCATTACTTTTCTGTACTTAAGTTTTTCTGCGTAATAAATAATTAAGTTCTTTGTGTGCAAGTTAAAATGCGATATTATGATGGGGAGCAAATCTCCAATACGAGAGGTTTGCCGAAAAACGAGTAAGTTTTCATTGTAGTCTTAATTAATGTGATTCCTATTACTGAAATGTTTTTATCGCATTTCCACCAAAAGTTTTCATACTGCAATGTTATCAATTTATCAAATACTTTAGATTAGGTTTCATATATGATTTTCAAATGTTGCAAACATTTAATACCTATTGATAATGCACCTATAATGGAATCTATGTATGATACATTTATGAAGATTCTTAGTATAACAGAGTCAAAGTCAAGTTTATTTTTAGAAATATTAATTTTTAAGTTAAAACCTGCAAGTGTTAAAATAGAACATAAAATTTTCCATCGATTTTAGTTTTATTGTAGTTTACAAGGTTAACTAAATAAGTATGTCTTGGCATCGAGACAGAGAACTAATTAAATTTTTCGCAAAATTGGAAAAAAAAATTGTCTAATAAAATTTTATATCCAAGAAGCATTGGTTAATTGAAAATCTGAAAACGCATATACTGATATCATAGATAACTTTTCACTAAAAATTCTATTTTTTTTGCCTTTTCCTATAGGTAAGTTCTACAGGAAAAATGAATCATGATTAATTTTTTGTTTTTTTTTTAATATATATATTTCTGGAACAATTCCAACTCTCTTGGTTATATTTTTCCAGAGAATTAGAAAACATCAACATAAGTTTATTTTTATTCACTATTCAAATGATAATATCAAGTGTTTGCTAAACATGTTTATTGCATAAAGGACATAAGCTTTATTATCCAAAAAAACATTGTTTTTTATTGACAAAGCAAAGATCCGATCCCTATCACTAATTAATTCTAAGCAAACATAAATTAAAATTTTACTCCAAATATGAACCTTAAAAAAGACACAAAAATTACAAAGTAAATCACTAGTTCAAACTTTAAACTTACGGTGTAAATTAAATAAATAAAAATAAAAAATATTAAAGAAAAAAACAAATTAAATATAAATAAATAAATACCTAAATAAACCAAATTTAACTTTTTGGTCATACAGGATAAAAATAAAATAAAAGTAAAAAACCAACCAGAAAAAAAAAACAAACAACAAACAGAAAAACTTCTACATATTATGTATCTACATATTTCTGAGAGTTAGTATAACTTTTGTCTATTTCCTATGCCGGTTTAGGTTAAATTAAGAAAAGGGTCCGCCAACGAGGATTGAGCAGGGCCTTAATTTTGACTTTCCCTCTATATTTTTGGAGAAAATTAAAATAGCACTGCGATGCAACTTTCTCCATCGTACTTCGGATCTATCCAGAAAAACATCTTTATCGAATATACCTTGGTATAGTATTTTTAATGCGAATTGAAGCACTAAAAAAAATCTAGTCGGCATACATCAAACAAATATAGGACATGGGCGTCACATAGTTTTTATTTTTTGAAATGCTAATAATCAATGACACAGGTTATAGAAATCGCGTAGTCTAGTCTAATCAGCACATGTACCTGCAATCTGCATTATTTCCAAGGAGACATAAGTAGCCCAATAATTCAACCTTATAGGCGCGTGCCGACCTAAATTATTATTTTGGGCTACTGTAGCGATATTTCCTCGCTGCTTATATTTTGTACAGGGAACGGTATACAGTGTGTCCCAGATTCGCTTCTCTATACAGGGATCTCGGTTCCTATTATACCTACAGCAAAGGTTAAATGGGGGAAGTTTTAGAGGAAGCTGAGTGCATTCGATAATTGGCTTCAGAATAACGATCGCTCAATAAGACTTGGAAATATCGGCGAAAACCCGAAAATGACGGATTTCGTTTTTTGCCGGTTAACCCGAAACGGTTAATTTGGCAGCTGTCAAAATGTGACATTATTCAGACACTTTTTTAAGACCAGTAAGATAGCGTGTATGACATATCTCAATCGTCTTTTGTTATTCCGTAAGCCGCTTCAACTTTCATTTTTATTATGGGCGCCACGGCGCCATAGCCGAGATCCCTCTATAGAGAAGCAAATCTGGGACACACTGTATAAACTTACAATAAATTTTCTAGAAGTTAATGGAAGAGAGCGATGTGATGTTGAAATAGCCTCGTATAATGCAGTGTTCCAAATCAGAATAAAAATACCATAAGAATTCCCAGAAAAGACGTTCACAACTTATTTCCTAGAATCCTGCTCGGTTCGGTACGTCGATATTATATTTGCACTCCACTTCGTTTTTGTAAACAAAAAGCAGGAGGTATAGTATTTAAAGTGCTCCATGCTTATCTCATCAATTTACCATGTTGTAACGTGGTAGGGTGCCCAGAAAACCTGCTGACACAAGCTGTTTTCCATCACTCGACCAGACTACCAACTTAGCATAAAAGAGCTTATCAGTTAATTGAACGTGCCGTACTCGGATACAATACCCTATTCACAGTGTAACGGAATAGGTACACACAGATTATTTTTAAAGGTCATCGAAACAACACTGATCCTTTTGATTTAAACAACCACATATTGATATTAACTAATCAAAGAAAAAAAAATTGAAAACCAAAGAAAAAATCTGAAATCAAAAACAGCCCACATTGAAATGAAAGCTCGTGAAAAAAATGTTCCAAAATTATTATTATTATTATGAAGTTAATATGGGCGAAGGTAAAACCTATTAGCCCATTTTTGCAGGAATGATTGCACAGTTCAAATAAAGTCCGTCTAACAAGCTTGTTTTTGAACACTGACACTGAGGTGACATTTTCCATTGACAGTAGTGGATGGTAGTTGGTTCCAGTGAGTAAACACCAAACTCTTTTAAACAGGAATAAGAATCCCATTTTTCTAAAGTGTATGGATGATACTCTAAAGGAACTAATTTTAAGCAATAAACCCGCATACAAACACTTTAAGCAAACATCTTCCTTGGAGGATTACCATAGATTCTCACATCTATGTGTGCAGTGCAAACAATATGCCACCATCAGCCATCAAAACTACTGGGATTGCATAGAGGATAGGGTGAAAGATAAAAATGGGGTTTCTTTGGAGTTACATAAGATCTAAATAAGATTCCAAAGATTTTCCCAGCTGTATGACATTGAAAAATAAGAAAGCAGATTCACCTACGCTACGGAAATTGTAGAGCTTTTAAGAGATCATTTTAGCTCCGTATATAAGGTAGATGATGATTTCAACAATTTTACGGTGTGTTGTGATGTTACTGTTAATTTACGTTTTTTGTCCATTTATGTTATGGATATACATAAGATTTCCCAGCTGAAAGATAGCTTAGGGACATCAGTTCCAGATGGCATCCCTGTTTCTGTCATTAAAAAGCATATATACTTGTTCTCTTACAACGGTTTGGAAGACTAGTTTTTTAACCCCAATTTTTAAGAGTGGTGAAAATTACAGCAATGAGAATTAACGGCCAATTTCAAAAATTTCTATATTTTCTAAAATTTTTGAGTCAATAGTTACAGATAAATTAACACCTCTATCCAAGAATATAATTATACCAGAACAACATGGGTTCATGAAAGGCAAATCCACAGTTTGATGCATTGGTGAGGGGGGTATCAGGTGGACATGATATATACCCAATGAGAATACACACTCTGAGGAGTGCTTATCGGCCTCGTTTTTTGTAATCAACGCCATATTAGTGTGATACCATTTCCGACGTCATAACTATAGTCTGGCAAGTGGTAACTTGGTAGGGACGAAAGGGGGAAGAAAAGCGGGGCGTAACCTAGAATATTCACTGACACCCCAACTGACACCGCCTGATGACAACCATGTCTTTGGGTTCAGTGGCACCGAAAACACCAAGGAAATAAACCAATAAAATTATTAGAAAAAAATTGTTTAGTTTCCCAAATAACCACGTCACTGGTGCTGTCGTTCAGGCTCTCACCAATAGAATCATACCTCTGAATAATCACGCCTCTCCATATCCATCATTTCGCAACGTTGCCGGATTTTTTTTTAATTCAAAATACTACACATGCCCATATTGCAAAAAAAAATATGTCACCAACTTGTTTATTTATTGTTTCCGTCAAGTTTGGCAAAGCAGCAAATTCTTTTGCAGTTCGCCGTTCCGCTAGCCAGACAATAAGTGGTCAGCTGCTTAAACAGCCTACGCACGGCGAGAAATAACAGGCTGCATACGTCACAACTGGTATTTTGGCGGAGGGGGAGGGGGGATTTGTTACAGACAGGCCTTTTGAGGATAGGCCATCCTGTAGTAGTAGTGTGTATCATCCTTGATATATACCAACTTTTCCAAGGCGTTTGACAACGGTCGACCATAAAATTCCAGAAAAAAAGCTGGGGTTTCATAGATCATTTTAGGTGGGTGATTGACCATCTTTCGAGACGAAAACAGAGAGTGAAGATAGAATACTTAGTCTCAGAGATTAACATCACTTCTGGTGTTTTGCAGGGTGGGCATCTGTCCACTCTCCTTTTCAATCTTTGCTTGAATGACATTAAGAATGTTTTTAAACACTATATAAATTTCCCAATTTTGCTGATGACATTTAAGTCTTTATCACTATAAAAAATATCCATAACTGAAATCTTGTAAGGGGAACTCAACAATTTCTTCAGCTGGTGTGAAGACAATCATTTGGCACTAAACGTTGATAAGTGCAAAGTGATGTCTTTCCTTATTAGAGATCTTGGCGTATTTCTAGATGTCGAATTCTGAACATGTTGAAATATGCAATAAACCCATGCGATTATTGCGATTTGTAACGCGTAATTTGAGAGATTCTAATAGCATTTACACCTTGACGAATGCTTATTCAGCTATAATTCGCCAAATTCTGGAGTATGCAAGTCCTGTTTGGTCCCCCTTTTATGGAAAACATAAGTACCAACTGGAGAGAGTACAACGAAGATTCCTAAAACACATTACATACAAACTAAATATTAGTCATGACTCTATTAATTATGATGATATCTTAAAACTTTTGAATATGGAAGCTCTAACCCAAAGGACCTGTGTATTCTGTTCAAACTGGTAAATAATATAATCCAGTCACCTCAGCCCTTATCTTTGATTGGTTTTAATATACCACATAACATAGGAAACAATGGACTATTTTATGTACAATATCATTGTACCTACTAATTATGGGTACAATTCTCCTATAACTAGATTTTTAAGACTGGCAAATGCTGTGATAAATAAATTGAATGTGGATCTTTTCAATATTGGACTGTATTCTGATGTAAAATTAGTAATCGTGTTCGGTGTTCGTAAAGAGAAGTGTATAATCTTCTATAGAGGGCCGTAGACCTCCACCAGCACAAAAGAAAACCCAGGTGAGGTCAGAAGTAGGGCCAGAATGTCAGTGCCACTGTAGTTATAGGGTATTTCTACTACAGTGTAGGTAGCTGATCAAGATATGTTCGCTGAAATGAAAGCACACTCCACCGCTGCGATGTGTCACTCTATATGATCTGTATAGTATATATATTGTTATTACGGAAATCAATTAGGGAGTGGGTTATTGTGTCTTAAAACCAAGTTTCTGAGATCATAGAGATATGAGTGTTGTTAAGGGTGAAGACGTTGAGATAATCATACTTTGCACAGATTGAAGCAATGTTGGTGTAAAAAATAGACAAACCGACCAAGTTGCGACAAGACCAGCCAAGAAAGTTTCAATATTTGATCAAAATAAAAATACTCATCACAAAAAGAAGGTGCCTATCACAAGGGCACGCACAACGAGTAAACCTGAAATCAAAGAAGAATTTTTTAAAGGATAAGTAATACACGTAATTCAAATAATCGTGGCACTTCTGTAAGGGTAATATCGTTCAGATATTGACGATTAAAATCCCTGTGCTTCTTTTACAATTGGGAAATGCTATACGCAATTTTAGATGCTGATGAACCTTATTATTCCTCCAATAGAAGGCACTACTGTCACTTAATTTTCTCAGTGCTATTCCTCACGATTTTTTGAAAATATATTATGTATGAATTTCAAAATACATTAATCACCATATTTCAGATAAACATAGGGTTCCACTACTTATGGATTACATAATATACAGAAATTAGCAAAAATTATCTTATCACTGTTTGTATATGATGTAACCGCAACCAGTAAGTGCCGTGATTATCATCAGAATATCTACTATAAAAATCTTGAAAATTAAATGATGTTAATTACTTTTTCAGATAATATGTTCAATGTTTTTAGTCAAAGCAAAAACATACGCCAGTGGACTTTGTCCGTTTACAGTTACGTAGTAGCTAATTTTACTACGTCATATTTATTTGGGCTTTAGTTTCATGCATATATTTTTCACCGAGCCACTCAGACGGAACCCTCGATAAACTTACATTTTTCAAAAGCCCACTCGAGGTTTGATCTCTCAGAAATCGCGAACTAGTCAGTGCGTTTTTGATTGGTGCAAATTGCCAACAAACTATTTTCAACCAATGAAATTTGCTCTGACTGGTTTGTTATTTCTGTGAGAACAGACCTTCAATGCAGTGGAAAATACAAAGCTAACTACATTTGAAAATTAGAAAAATACCAAAAAAAAATTGTTGGTTTTATTGGAAAATTGGAACTTTAGCTGTTTGACACCCTGTATAAAGAAAAAAAGACTATTATTAGATGCTGTTCAAACACGTTTTAATGAACTAACTATCTTGTAAATCTCGATCTGAGTCATTAAATATAGGTATTATTATGGCAGGTTATCGCAATATTATTTATTGAAGTACATTGCATTAATTCCTGTATAGTTGCCAAAATTTAAAAGTCCTATCTGATAATAATTCCTAATAGATTATAATCTAACTGTTAAAATTATTATGGCATCGCCTATTTGAATAATTATTGTACGTGCCATGTTTTTTGACAAACAATTTCTTAAATATGTATATTCATTATTAAAGTTAGTTATGACTGCCATAGACAAATCTATTTTGAAAAAATAATGATGTAAGGAATAAGATAAGTTAAATTACTCACAACCTGGAGTAGATAATGTATTTTTTTTTATATTCTAGAATCTTTGTCAACAGAAGTCTTCATTTAGAAAACATCAAGTTCTATGGATTTGATATGGATTACACCCTGGCCGGTAAGTTATTGAATTTGATTTTTTTTTAAATAAAATGTAATTAAACCCTGACTATATTTTTTAGAATACAAATCACCCCATTATGAAAAGTTGGGATTTGATTTAGTGAAAAAGCACATGGTGACAATAGGTTATCCTCAAGAAATCTTAGAATTTGAATATGATCCATCATTTGCCGTCAGGTAAATATTATGTCCATGGGATTATGTCTAGCACCTATTAATTCTTATTTTGCTTTTAGAGGCTTATGGTTTGATACACTTTATGGCAATCTTTTAAAAGTAGACGCATATGGAAATATATTAGTTGCAGTTCACGGATTTGAATTTTTAAAGCAGTAAGTATTTGTTTTATAACTAAAACTAATTTTTATTATTTGGTGTTTTTTTTTTTCATAAGCTCACGTATCTACGAATTATACTACAACAAGTTCATAAATTTAGACGAATCCAGGGTGTATGTACTTAACACCTTATTCAATTTGCCAGAGACCTATTTGCTTGCCTGTCTTATTGATTTTTTCACAAATTCGTCTGAATATTCTAAAACAGATACCGGAGTGAAATGTGGCGAACTTTTGATGTCATACCAGTCGATTTTCCAGGACGTACGAAATGCTGTAGATTATGTACATATAAGGGGTGAATTAAAACAGCACACGACGGAAAATTTGGAAAAATATGTGAAAAAGGACGAAAGATTGCCAACATTTCTAGCTAGGCTTAGAGAAAGTGGAGCAAAAACCTTTCTACTGACAAATAGCGATTATAATTTTACAGATAAAATTATGACATACTTGTTTGATTTTCCACATGGAGCTAAGGTAAGAATTTTTTCTGATACATCATAATTCCTATTTAGCTTGTTGTTTTGACTTTTATTTTTATTGATTGGTGTAGAATTTCAATTAAGCTAAATTAAATATAAATTATTTTTCAAATTCTGTTTACAAATGACAATGTTCTTTCCAATGTTTTCACTGGTGTGCAACTAGTAAATAAACTAGTTACGGGAAATATTTTTTTGCATATTGCTAAAGATTCAATTAATTTTTCCTATAGCCTGAAGAACTTCACCGAAACTGGAAAACATACTTTGACATAGTAGTGGTGGACGCATGCAAACCCTTATTTTTCGCCGAAGGTACCATTTTACGTCAGGTGGACACGAGCACTGGTGCACTCAGGCTTGGTATTCACACTGGACCCTTCCAAAAGGACCACGTTTATTCTGGAGGATCTTGTGATGTATTTACTAAACTGATTGGAGCAAAAGGTAGAATATTTACCATGGAATTGATAATTACTGAAATGTATTTTCTTCGGTTTCAGGAAAAGATGTATTATATGTAGGCGATCACATTTTCGGTGATATTCTGAAGAGCAAAAAAATCCGTGGTTGGAGAACATTTTTAATTGTGCCTGAATTGGTTAGAGAACTTCACGTGTGGACCGATAAATGTCAGTTATTTAATGAATTGCAAACTTTAGATGTTAAGCTCGGAGAAATGTATAAGTAAGTTCTTCTGAAGATTATTTTCAGTGCAGTTGTCTTACACAATATTTTTTCGTTTATTTAGAAATTTAGATAGTAGTACCAAAGAAAAACCAGATATTTCAAAACTGAGAAGCGCAATAAGGGATGTAACTCACAAAATGGATATGTCCTATGGCATGATGGGTAGTTTGTTTAGGTCAGGATCCAGACAAACATTCTTCTCCTCACAGGTACTTATATCCATTATCTTACCTAAATATTCATGAAAATCAATGTCCTATTTTGCTAGGTTGTAAGATATGCAGATCTCTATGCAGCGACACATTTAAATTTGCTCTACTATCCGTTTTCCTACATGTTCCGTGCCCCAGCTATGCTGTTACCCCATGAATCTACGGTTGCTCACGAACAACACTTTGCTTCTGAATTAGTGCCCGAGCCTTACGATCTTGAAGAAGAAAAAAGACAAAGGGTAAGTGGTTTTTGTTTTTAAAAGGGGCTTGCGGCCCTAAACAAATGAGACATAGGAGGGCCCACATCTTTCAGTTTTTATTATAGGTATTCTTAAATAAATGCATATTGAAAAGCATATTTTCAAGATGCATAAATTCATCTCTGACAACATCAACCTAAGAAACTTTATTTCTTTTCTAGCATCCAGGTCCTTATTTTTTGCATGAATTGGAATGAATTTTTCCTGGCCTATTCCTAGAACATCATTGGTAACCTAATCCTTAAAATTTGTCATTTTTGTTTAAATATCATGATGCCCCAATTTAAATTACAGTCTAGAGATTAATAGAGATTTTAAATTACTTAAAAGCTCTTGAAGGGGAGAAAAAAGCGTGAGCCATCATACTGATTTTACATTGTGATCAATTGCGCCAACCCTATGATTCTAGAGACTGTGAATTAAAGCTATTTTTCTATCCCTCATATAAAGGCTGCATCAAATTTATTATACTTTTTTAATTATTTTTCTTCTATGTAGGTTTTTGAACGTGCCCAAAGTCAAATCCCACACATCAGACCAGAAACGCCTCAATCGCTCACCCACAATCACGATGAAGATTTCAGTGACGAAGATAGTGACGATAAAAATGCAGCTTTAAAGTCCGAAAACGGCAAAAATTGAAAGGGCGCGATATTTCCAGAAAATGTTTTGTATTTTGTACAGGGTACATTGACGTTATGTTTCTGCCAAAAATTGTTAGTGATACACGAAAAAATAAGTAGCCCTAGAAAATTATGTATAGCGGATTTACATAGAGATTTTTATAGAGACAAACGAAAAAGCTGATATTACGGTAATAGTTTTAGAAAATTAATTTGTCAATTATTTATTGAGCAAAAGTCAAAATAAATTGCTAATCTTATCAAGATTATGTTTATAAAAAAATCTCAGATTTAGCAAAAAGGTATTTCCTGAATAAACCTGAAAGTTGCATTGTTAATATCTTCCCGTTTACTTCGATAATTGCATTCAAAATGCAAATAAGGAATACGTAATTATAGATATTTAAATATAGAATGATAAAAAGTGATTTTGAAACTTTTAGAATGTATTCTTTAACATTTTTATCGGTGCACAATGACTTGACACGTTATTTTTAGAATTTACTTTTTGGGGATAATTTTCTTATGTAAACTATAAAAATGTCTCAATTAGGTATCACCTAATTTAATAAATTAAGAGGCAATATTAATGTAATAATTTTAACATTTGTGCCTAGTTAGCTATAATTTAGATGCATGTTATTTTTTCAATGTATTTTAATAAATAGGTTATTTTTTTGTTCTTGTTTTGTGTATTTTTGATTTTTCTTTTTTAAATAAAAAAAAAATAATCTCAATTCATAAATTGTTTTATTCATATAAAATGGTTGAAAAATCTCACAAAACTTGGGATCCTTTTCCTTGCATAAACTACTTATAAAGCTTTTTATATCAGGAATTAACTTTTTTGAAATAATACAGTTCAAAAGTGCAAAACAATAATTTAATATTCAAACAGTTTCTATAGCGTTAGTATAATTCACAATACCTTTGGAGGAAATTATATAAGAAGAATATATGTCTGTGGTGGGTCTAGAAAATAAAATAAAGAATTACTGGAAATTTTGCCATGCACAGGAAGAATCTATTGTCACTTCCTTAAATATGTACAGAGGTAAAAGAAATTAGAGAAAAATCAATTGAACACACAATTGTTTCACTCTGTACAACTTCATCATTCTCATTCACATCTTGTCCATGAAATGAGGTTGTCCATTCTTTTCTCTTCTTCTTGTCAGAATTTCACAACCAGTTTCATTGACTAGCAAAGTTTGTTCAAATTGAGCTGACCATTGTCCATCGGCAGTTACGGCAGTCCATTTGTCGGGCCACATTTCATCTTTCCATGTACCAACAGATATCATTGGTTCAATTGTGAAGCAATGACCAGGTTTCATGACACCAATTGCCCGATTTTCTGCAAAAAAATACACAAGAAATATATTTTCGGTGCCGTTACCGTCAACAAATTGGCTCATGATATTAAAAAATGTTGAACAGTTGAAAGTACCTATTTCAAGGAAAATAAATGAAACTATAGAAGGAGTGTGTTATGTGGACATTGTATCGGGTCTTCAAAAAAAAAACCAATCGAAGATTGCTTTGAATACGAAAATGTATGTCGCATTATTGTTTCTTTATTGGTCAGGATTTTTGACATGACATTTTGACATTAAAGTTCATTGACAAAATTAAAGAAAAATATTGCTAAGACATACGTTTCAAAAACCATAGCAATCTTTGATTGGTTTTTTTTTTGAAGACCCGATATATTTTGTCGAGTTCATGCTAGATAAAATTTTAAAAAATATGTGTGCAGTTCACACCTGGTAGAAGTTCATTAAACTTAGCTGAGAGAGAAAGAGAGTTATTGGACGTGCAATAAGAACAAGCAGTATTTAAATAAGCCTTATTTTGACATCTACGCATGCGCATTTGGGTCCGAAAATAAGGATTCCCTTAATAAGGGAGGATTTTCATGCATCCGTTTTTCCGACGAAATATGTCCGAAAAACATTCTATTCTGACATAATCGTATATAAATATGTCAAAATAGAAGACTTTTCGGACATATTTCGACGGAAAAACGGATGCATGAAAATCCTCCCTAAGGTTACTGCTTGTCTTTATTTGCGTATGGTTAGTGCAAGGCAGTAAACTTCCCTTATTTCAAATTTCTGACATTTTGGACGACTTTGACGTTTCACTTTTCGACGATGACGTAATTTTATTTAGAAAATTTACTTTGTACAATAGTTTTCCATTTTACTGTGGGTAACATCAAAAAATGGGTATCAGCAGAAAATTACAAACAAAAATAAATACTTTTTGAGGCTGAAATTTATAAACATAGCTATCAGCTGTCAAAATTATGAATACAAAATAAGGTAATACTCTAACACCTACTACAGTCTTCCAATAACTGTTTTTTTTCTTGGAAAAATTGTGCTGATGCACTAATAAAATAACGTAAATCCTTAATACTGCGAAGCAGTATTTAATAGTTCCAATAACTCTCTAATAAGATACACATACTAACATACAATGCTTGGTAGACAAGAGTGGGGAGGCTACGAAGCACTGCACAAAGAGGAGACTAAGAATAGGGAACGCTGTACAGGGTGGGCCAATTTGGACACTTTCTTATGGAAACACCCTTTATTTTAAGAGATAGAAAAAAATTAACCCCCCACTCTGAGGCTCAAATTTCATGAAATTTTGATTGGAGCAAACCACATTTTGATATCTTCAACCGTTTAGCCGCTAGAGGGCGATTCTCGATTTTGAGCAATACTGTGAAACCTTCATTACTTTTTTAGTTATGAAAATAATTCATTTCTGTAAAGACTTTCTGGAAGCACTTTTTTAAGTGGAATTCAGTGACGTTCTCAGATTTTTTCTATTTGGCTCCGATTCCGAGATATTGACCAAAATCCGATTTTTTTCAATAGAACACCCTATATATCAATAGCTCATTGAAAAGCTCTGCTTTTGCTGATTTCCATGATATAAAATTGGATAGGTTTATCTCCAACGGTTTCCGAGAAAAAAATTATTTCGATTTTTGTCATAAGACACAGTGTGTTGGAAAAGGACTTTATATCTGTAAGGAAAACGAGAAAGGTCTCTTTCTAACACATTGTTTCTTATGACAAAAACAGAAATAATTTTTTTTCTCGAAAACTGTTAGGGATAAACCTATTGAACTTTATATCATTGAAATCAGCAAAAGCAGAGCTTTCCAATAAGCTAATAATATATAGGGTGTTCTATTGAAAAAAATCGTATTTTGGTCAATATCTCGAAATCCGAGTCAATTACAAAAAAACTGAGAACGTCACTGAATTCTTCTTAAAAAAGTGCTCTTAGAAAGTCTTGACGGAAATCAATTATTTTCATAAACAACAAAGTTATGAAGGTTTCACAGTATTGCTCAAAATCGAGAATCACCCTCTAGCGGCTAAACGGTTGAAGATATCAAAATTCATGAAATTTGAGCCTCAGAGTGGGGGGTTCATTTTTTTCTATCTCTAAAAATAAAGGGTGTTTCCATAAGAAAGTGTCCAATTTGGACCACCCTGTACAACTGTATTTTATCTCATTCTCTCGCAGGCTAAATCCCATAGATCTACAGTGTGTCTACTTAACACGTTAAGCGCCACAGCAAAATCGCTAAACTTGTCCAAGTGGCCATTATTTTCAATTTTGTTATTTTACTTAATTCCGCTTATATTTTGTACAAGTAACTATATTTATGTTTTTTTTATTATCTATCATATTTTTGGAGAAAAATTTAAGGCGGCCACGGTGCAGGTGTTTGTGGCATGGCGCTAGGTCGCAAGTTCCTGCCTTTTTAGTTCAACTGACAGCTTGTTCAAACACGTATTTTCACTAGGATTTGTGGCTCTATCACAATGCCTGAAAAATAGGCGAGTGAACGTACCAAATGTATTATTCGAATGGCAAATCAGTTTATACCAAGTGAACAATACCCAAGTCCTGTTCCAACCGACACGAGAACCGTTCTAGAACCAGTAATTTCTAGTTGCCCACTTATTTCTCGAAGTTGAATGTTTATCCTACTTGACAAATGAATTGATCGACTGGAAATTACTGTTTTAGAATGATTTTCATGTCGATTGGAACAGAGTTCAAGAAGACTCCGATTCAAAACCATTTGGTTCGGTTCTAACTCCCTGGATGATCCAGAATATATTGCAAGTGATGATTCTGATTATTTTGATGATTCTGTCAGCTCTAGTGAGCCAGAAAATGTAAAATAAAGGGGCACCAAATAGAAAAATATACAGAATTTTTTGATAAAAAACAGTAAAAGTAGAAAAAAAATGGCATGTCACTATTTTTTAAAACCTTTGATATTTTTCTCAGATTCAGCAAGTCATATTAAAGTCAAAAGATACCTTTCGTTATCACAAACAGACCTGCCAAATTGCAAAAAAAAAAAAATGGGAAATGGATTTTTGAGCTAAAAAACGATTTTTTCTAAAACTTTGACACCCTGTATCTCAGAAACTATGCACTTCCGGATACATGTTTATGGGAACTTTTCTTAAAACATATTTTAGCTTTGTCAACGAGGATTTTAATAATAATAATAATAATAATAATAACAACATTTATTTCAAAATTGGTATAAAAAAATAACAATTGAAATTACGTCAATAAGCCAATAAAGGCAAAAAAAATATATAACTCAACATTCATCTGATTATTGAATAAGTATGCTATCAACATTACAAGTTCATAGGAAAATAAATAATTATAATTTACATATTCAAGAAATCATCCAAGGTATATGGCTCCAAGTTAATAAGCAATCTTTTGACTTCTCTTTTAAAAGCAGATATACCTTCAATCTGTCTTACTTGTCGTGGCAATGCATTGAATAATTTAACGCACATATACTCTGGACTTTTTTGACTTAATTGGAGGCGATGTCTGGGGTAAGATAAATATTCTGCCCTGGTGTTATATCTTTCAGTTCTTAGCTGTTCAAATAAATTTTTATTTCTTTGTAAAAACATGAGACATTCAAATATGTACAAAGCATATACAGTTAATATTCCCATCTGTCTGAAAGTATTCCTGCAGGACTGGTTATAGTCCATTTTCTTAATAATTCTGACCACTCTTTTTTGAGCAATAAAACAATCCTGAGTATATGCGCTTTTGCCCCAAAAAATTATTCCATACTTTAATCTCGATTCAAAATTGGCAAAATACAACGTTCTTAGAGTCTTCTCATTCATATATTTTCCTGCTACCCTAATACCATAGCAGATGGAACTTAACTTTTTCACAAGGCCACTGACATGAAATGACCAATCCAAATTCTCATTTAGACACAATCCCAAAAACTTTGTATTCTCCAAAACCCTCAAGTTGCCACTTGACAAATTTACATTATCAATCCTTTCTATATTAGATTGTTTTGTTCTAAAAAATACAATATTTGTTTTATCCGTATCAAGAATTAACCTGTTTTCAATAAACCATTTTGTTACTTTATCAAGAAAATATTTACTATTCACCAAAATCTGACACAGACCCTTACCACCAGTCAACAAATTCGTATCATCCGCGTAATTTAATATTATTTGACCTGGATTATCTCTTATCATGTATATATCATTTATAAATATTACAAATAGGATAGGTCCCAGAATACTGCCCTGAGCCACACCAGTTTCACTGTAAAGTGTCTTAGATTTCGCTTTTGTACCATTTCCAATAACACTCACAATTTGTTTACGATTATTTAGATATGACTCAAGCCAATGCAAGGCCCTTCCCCTTATTCCATATCTATCAAGTTTGCCCAAAAGCAATTTTCTGTCAAGACAGTCATATGCCTTTGACAGATCGAGGAACATGCCCAAAGCTCCCTCTCCGCTTTCAAAAAAATTCACGATATGCGTCACAAACTGATACATCGCCGTTTGAGTGGATTTTCCCTTTAAGAAACCGTGCTGGTTACTGTTGAACAAATTACAGTCGTTCATAAATTTTAGAAGTCTTTTGCACATGGCAAGCTCAAAAAGTTTGGAAAATCCAGGCAAAAGGCTGATAGGCCTGTAACTGTCCATTTTCCCCTCATCTCCCTTCTTGTACAAAGGCTTAATTAAGGCTACTTTCAGTTTGTCTGGGAATATCCCATTCCTGAAAGAACTATTAATCAAGTAGCAAAGTATGGTTTTGACTTTCTCTATAGACACTTTTATAATGCTTGTTGGTATCTCATCCACCCCACTACTATGTTTATTTTTTATTTCTGTTGCTAATTCAGCAATTTCTTTAATAGTTATTGGTCTTAGAAAGATTGACTGGTTATTTGTTGGAATATTGCAAGTGTAAGGTAAATGATCAACTGTTTTTAACAAATCTGGTATAATAGATA